ATTGCACTTCTAATAAAGATTGCAATAATAATAAGATAGAATTAATTATTTTTTTATTTTTAAAAGAATCTTCATTTTGTATTATAATTTAATCTTTGTAAATTAGCCAATCATATGAATGATATCCTATAAGGCATATCTGCTTTGTCAGCTGATTTTCGAATAGAGAATTTTTATTGGCTAATTATATTAAAAAAAAAATTTTCAACTCCTACTTTGCCAACGCGGGCGGGATATAAAAACTAATTATATAAATTTATATAGCCTTATCTTACCTTAAAAAATTCGGATATCACTTAAAAAAATAGATCTACTACAAAATCTTGACATTCAAAATCTTGAAACCATAATCCTGATATAACAATTAATATTTAAAGATTAGTTATCATATTAACAATCATTATCAGACTTTAAATATTAATTGTCATATCTCATGATGTCAGTATTGTGACTTGTCAAGATTTTGAATGTTAAAATTTTGTAGTAAAACTGAAAAAAATAGCTCTATCTCAGAAAAAATCATATCTTTATATTATTAAAAATTTTGTCTTAATGCTGGCCAAGTTTATTATAATTCTGGCTAGTATTAGATCTATATATTTGTAAGTTATATTGGAGTCATGTAACTTACATTGTAAGTTACAATATAAATTATGCCATCAGGTAAGTTATCCTATCTTTAGTAGTAGCTAGGTTCAATTATTAAGGGTCAGAATACACTGGCATTGATTAATTTTGCCAAAGATCACTCAAAATTTTACTAATGAAACTATAGCCTACTCATTAAGTAAAGCTACCCAGATGATAATTTTGGTATAATATAGTTAGTTGTTGTTATTTCTTAATACTAGCCTAAATCTGACCCATAATTCAGGCTGATCTATTGAATTTTTGTTTTTTAGCTAATCTATCTAGTTTGAATATACCCCAAACTTCTACGACATATAATTGGGTAGCCTTATATTAAGCAAAAATTAGACTCTTCTAACCCAAATGTTTAGACTAGAGTATTCCAAGTATAATATATAAATCTGATATAAGAAAGTAACTAATATATATAAATTTTAATGCTAAACATTTTTAATTAGAAGTCGGAAGTTAGTTAGCATAGTAAAATTTGACTCTATTTGGGATTTCTTATTTTTTTTGTTAGTTTTACAGTTTGTTTTTGTTATACATGATCCTGAAATTTTATTGGTTCCAGACCAGAAATTTTAGAGTCAGGGTCAATTTTCACTTAACATAAGGGTATCTCACATAATTTTGTTTAAGTCTAATAATCTGTCATGTTGTATTAATTATTTTACTAAAGTTTAATGGATAACTTCAAAAAACTACGCTTAAAGAGTTCAAAGCTTTTTAATTACAAATGTTCGAATATTTTAGGAATACACAAATTCTTTATTGAAGAATCAACATTCAGTTGATGTCTGAAAAGTTTTGTAAATAAATTTAGAAACTAAATTTTGAACAAATTCAAAAGCTTTTCCTAGCCAATTTGACCCATATTAGTAAACAAAGGAATATTTGCGCTTCTATTCATATATTTTGTTTAAGTTACATTGAATAGATACAGGTAACTATCTAGTTCTCTTGATTCATAATACCAATAGTATAATTTAACTTAAGGCTAATCCTAAGAACTATCAAGACGTGGAAGAGACAGGCTATTTCAAATGCATATCGCATATTTTTTTAGGAATGTACAATATTAGAAAACTATTTGAAGCAAAAACACAAGCATAAAGAAATTGCTAAGGTAAGTATTTATTCTTTTTTAGAATGTATTTTTCTTTTTTTTCTGAAGTGATTATGATATTGTACTTTTTACTAGAGCTTTGTTTCAGAAAATATGAAATATATAACATTTCAAGATGTTTTTCAAAGATCTCAAAAAGAGATACAAGCTCAAACTCCCCGGTTTAGTCTCCATGATCTCAGATGCAAATAATAGAATATGAGAAAGTAAAATAGTAAGTTTGAGCTAACTATTACATTTGTCTCTATATATTTTATTTTAATAATTTTTTATCTTTAAGTACATTGAGTCAATCCAAATCGTGTACATATTTAGTACAGATATATCAAAATTAGAGAAGTTAGTAAGAAATGATTTGGTAGATAAGATATCTTTATATAAAAGTTGAATACTATCTATTTGGACAAAAGATTTAGAAAAATACTTTGAAAATATGCTAAATGTAAGTTTTTATATTTCATATAAGTTGTCTAATGATTATTACTAAATTGGCTCATAATATATGCAGAAAGTAAAAAAAAATTTCAAGTTAGCAATACAAGAAGAAATAGAGGAAAGCAAAAAAAACAAAAACAAATTTAGATTATATTGTGAAAAAGTATTAATAGAATTGTAGATGTTAAGCTATTGTTGAATATAAAAAAGGGATCATGCATAATAATATAGGGCCTATATAATTTCACTGACAATCACTTTACTGATATAGTGCAGGACACCAAAAGCTATATATTTTTTATAGTAAAATTTTTAAATTGATATAACTTCTTAAAAAATAAACCAATACAAAAAATTTTTTATACAATTAATAGACTTTTGGTTAAACTATAAATTTTTATTTAGTTTTAAAAGTGTAATATTAAATTAAAGTTATATATAATTTAAAAATTTGGCATCTAATATAAAAAAAATAAAAAACATATAAATTTTATTAGCCAATAAAATTAATTTTAACTTAGTTATACAGAATTTGACCAATCAAAAGTCTAGATTTATATTACACAGCAGGCAAAAATTTGGCATCTATATATGTCTTTAGATATCCCGCACTGTAGCTTATTTAGCTGATATCATGCTAGGTGAAATTTAGTAAAAATATAATATACCTGCATCTAATAAAATACTTAACCCTGACCCTATATGATATAGACCAAATGAGTGTTTGATGAAATAATTGTTAGGTAAATTGATCAGAACTGTGATATATATAACCTCTATATAGGGGGCAACAAAAATATTTCCATATCTAAGGACTTGGCTTATAACTCAAAAACTTACTAATTAACTTATGTTCTTGACTTGACTATATGAAACCTTATCTCT